TCTCTCCCCTTCCTTCCTTCCATCCATCCTTCCATCGTTGTCCATTTCCTTCTCCTGATGAACCACGCACAACCAACCAACCAACGAACCAGCGACCACATGAATGACCCATCCATCGACAGGTGAGGGTGAGATTGAGTGCACTCACTCCTTCCACCCACTTCGTGCTCCTCCCCTTCCCCTTCTTCTCCTTGCACACTGCGCACAGAAGCAAACAACCACCCCCATCAACAACAACAACACCACAGTTCACGCTGTCATCGTGCACACACAGCCACACACACACACACACACACACACACACACACACACACACACACACACCACTGCGTGTGGCGCTCACAAATGCACACTCACACACACTTGCTCACCGTTGTGTGGTGACAGAACAGCTGCCATCAGCCACCGTCATGCAGCGGCCACCTTGAGAATGGATCATGCAACCTCTCAACCAGTGAGCAGCACACACATGAGAGAGAGAGAGAAATGACATCAACCAACATCACAGCCAATGTGTGTGTGTGTGTGTGTGTGTGTGCACGGGTTGTGTTTCTTCTCATGCTCCTCCCCTTCCTCTCTCCTCCTCTCTGCCTGTGTTTCACGCTGCTCACTGCTGTTGCTTGCTTGTTTGTGGTGGTGCGTGCAGATGGATGGATTCCATCATCATCATCAGCAGCAGCAGCAGCAGCAGCAGGTGCTGGCTGATGCGTGAGGCAGTGGGTGACCCCACCAACCAACCAACAAATGACTGCATGCTGACGGATGAATGGTGATCCAACCACTGCATCACCCAGACAGTTGTGTGTGTGTGTGTGTGTGTGTGTGTGTCTATGTGTACGTGCTCTTCTCCACGCACCCACACGCCATCATCACCGCCTCCTCATTTTCTTGTGTGTTTGCTCACATCCTTCCCTTCCCACTCTCAACACCAACACCAATACCACTGCCCTTCATCCTTGTTTCTCCCGCCTTCTGCTGCTGTCGCCGCACAGCGGGGCCTTTAGCCATCACCCCACCCCCTCCTGCACCAACCACCCCTGCTGTGGTGGGATGAACAGACGAGCCCTGCCATGTGATGACCATCCAGCCACGCTTGTGCGGCTGTGGAAGCAGCAACACCAACTCACACCACAAACAAGCAAGCAAGCGATGAGCAACGTGAGTACATCACTGCACATGCATGCATGTGTGTGATGCGCACAGCACCAGTGTGCGTGTTTTGTGCTCGCTGTCTTTGTTGCTCCTGTCTCTCCCCCTTGTTGTCCCACATCAATGTGCATTGTATGTTGTGGTGCGGCTGCCTGTTTTGCCTTGCTTGATGCGCTGTCTCATTCGTCGTTCTCACACACAACTGCCTGTACACCTGCACATTCCCCACCTTGCAGCCGCTGTTCGTCTTCCCTCTCTTTCTCGCCCTCCCTGACAGCCATCACAACAACAACAACAACAACAACAGCAGCAGCAGCCAACACACCCTCCACCGCCGATGCAGCAGCAGCACCACCACCACCGCTTGCCGCTGAACACATCCCCCAACCAGCCAACCAACCAACCCATCGCCCAATGCTGCATGCGGGAGCTGGCTGGCGACAGGTGGCGACAGCACAAGTTGCATTTTCGGCGGGAAGCAGCAGCAGCAGAGGTGAGGGTGAGAAGAAGAGGGGAAACGGAGAGGAAATGTGTGTTGGCTGGATGGCTGGATGGATGGGATAAGGTGGGGTGGGGGATGCTGGGTGAGTATGGTGTGGTGTGGTGGCTGGCTGGTGACAGAGGATGGTGGTGTGTGGTGGTGGTGTGAGGAAGAGGGATGGATGGATGGATGGATGGGGTGCAGCATGTCTTGTTCCTTCCCTTCTGTTTTCTGTTTTCTCTCTCTTCCCTTTGTCTTCCTTCACGCATGCACGACATCAGCAGTGACAGCAGCAGTGTAGCTGCGCACATATTCATGCTCCCTTCCTCCCTCCCACGCACTCACCATGCTGGTGCTCGCACACAACAACACTTACAGGCGATGCACACGCACAAGCAGCAGGATGAGGGAAATGTCGAGGATACTTGACTCGCCTCACATATGGTATGTGGGTGGTGATGAGTGGTTGGTTGTGTGTGTGTGTGTGTGTGTGTGTGTGTGTGTGTGTGTGTGTGTGTGTGTGTGTGTGTGTGTGTGTGTGTGTGTGTGTGGATGTGGTGAAGCGAACAAGTGGAAGAAGGGTTGATGGGGGATGATGATCACACACACATTCACATACACACACACACGCCCGTGGTGCGTGTGATATCAATCACTCTTTCTGCTGTACTGACATGATGGCTTACTCTGTGCCTGTTGTGTTTTGTTCCCATCCACGTTCCCTGCAGCCACGCACATACGCACACGCACATGCACAGGTGGTGAGGTACCAGCACACATCAGGATGTTGATGGAAGCGGGCTCGCATGCCGGCTGCTGCTGCTGCAACTCCCCTGATTCAGCTGCCGTTGCTGTGCTCATGCAGTGTTCCCATATGCGAGCAAGGTGAGCCCATCATGCATGCTTTGGTTGGCGTATGGTGCATGTGTTGTTGTTGTTGCTTTGGGTGTGCTTGGTGTTGCTGCTGCTGTGTCTCGTGCAACAGTGTAGCTGTGCAGCTCACATGCCATGCGTGTGTATGCTTGTGGCTGCAGGGGGCGACTGCCTGAGGATCGTTGGAGGATGATGGGTGGTGCACACATGATGGAATGGGAGGAGCAGCTGTGGATACACACCTCCATGGTCATGGTGGGCACATCCAACCACAGCGACGCAGTCAGGTACAGGTGTGTGTGTGTGTGTGTGTGTGTGTGTGTGTGTGCGTGTGTGTGTGTGTGTCGTGGGGCGAGGAGAAGGGAAGCAGAGGAGGGAGCAGGAAGGTGAACACGTCTGCTGTGCTGACATGCCATACCTGTGCCTTGTGTGTGATGATGTCGTTGTGTCTTGTCGTTGTGTGATGGTTGCATGGGCACCAGGGCCACATCAGAGGAGGGGGAAGTAGCCGCCATGAACGACCCCATCATCATCAACCCTCCCCATTTCTCTCTCATTTCTCTCCTCTTCCATCTCAGCTCGGCTGCCACCGTCATCACCATCGCCATCGACCGCACAGCCGCCATCACACTCCGGCCGACACCAGCTCCAATCTGGCGTGAGGCAGACAATGCACATGTCACTCGCTCTGATGAAGAGGTGAGCAATGTGCGTGCGTGTGTGTGTGTGTGTTGGTGAGTGGGGAGAACATGTGCGTGTGTGTGTGTGTCAATGCGGGTGGTTGGATGGGCGGACATGTGGTTGATGATGCTTCGCTGTCAACCTCACCCCCCTGCATTCTCCTCTTCTTGTGTCTGTGCACACACACACACACACACCACAGCGTTGAGGAGGCGCATGAAGCGGTGGAACCAACGACGATGACGATGATGACGAGTGATGCAGGTGAGAGGGCGACTGAGATGTGTGTGTGTGGTTGACATGTTGTGTTTCATTCTTCTCCTCCCTCTTTCCTTGTCTGTTCTGTCCACTCATGTGTCTTTTCTTCTTCTCCCCCTTTTTTTTGATTGATTTGGACACGGGGCCATGCATTCCATCTCCATCCAACCGACCAGCCAAGCAGCCGAGCGAGCGAGCAAAACACACGGCATGGCAAGGGGCCGTTTGTTTTCACCGTTTCCACCACCAGCAGCAGCACCAACACAGCTGCTGATGTCTGGCTGCATTGGATGAACTGACCCTCTGTCTCTCGTCCATCCCCGCCTCCTCGTCGTCGTCATTGGTCACCAACAGCAGCGGCTGCGACCATGGATGTGGAGGTGAGATGAATGGCGGTGGTGGTGGTGACGTGGGTGGTGTGTGATGTGCTGGGTGTGAACAACAGCATGTGTAGGTGTGTGATTGTGAAGTGCTGGTTGGATGTTGTTGGGTCTGTTGGTGCTGGCAACGGGTGTTGTTGTCGTTGAAAGCCGGATTCTGTGACAACTCACCTCTTTCTCCACACGCACACGTACAGGGTGTGATGTGCGTCTATGTGCCGTTGCCTCGCGTGACGTTGACGATGATGGTGGTGAGTGATTTGTGGTGGATGTGGACGGTGCACGCACACGCATGTGCAGATGTGCTTGTGGTGGTGCTTATGGTGGCGGTGTCTGTGTGGGGATGTGAAATGTGCGTGCACATGTGGTGATGTGGGTGATGTGAATGTGGCACAAGGAGGTGGATGTGGTTTGTTTCTGCCATGCTGGCTCACTGCGTGGTGTCATTCTTGCTGATTTTGTTGTTTGTGTTTGCGCATGTGTGCATGTGTGTGATTTGCACAGGACAGTGGCCGCTCTCTTCCCAGGCCCTCATGACACGACCAGGGCGATACACGCACACACAAATGTGCGAGAAAAGAAGGCGCAAGGTGAGACGCTGGGGCTGTGTGTGTGTGTGTGTGTGTGTGTGTGTGTGTGTGTGTGTGTGTGTGTGTGTGTGTGAGTGTGTGGTGATGGGGTGGTAGTACACATACGCACGCGTGTACACATGCATGCCAACACATCAAAGCAGACATTGGCTGTGGGGTGGTGGCACTGACGTGTGTCTCACATGAATCAATCACACAACTCACATGTGCGTGTGCGTGTCCGTGCGTGGCTGCAGGCGGACGTTGTGCGGGTTTCCCCAACCGAATCCCCTTCCTCCTTTCCCAACCAATCGCCTTTGCTCTGTGTCATCATCATCGTCAGCCTTCCCCCCATGTGATGTGGAGCTGTTGAGGCGTGATTGAGACTGCGGCCAACACAGGTATTTCAGCAGTGGCGGATGTGGTGGATGTGGTGTGCCTGCTTGCCTGCTTGTTGGGTGCTTGGTTTGTTGTTCTTGTGTATAGGTGATGCACCCGCCCACATCATGCTGCATATTCCCATGCGTGGTCCCTTGTGTCCCTCCTTTCATGTCCTCACCATCGCCGGTCATTGTTGTTCGTCTCTGGTTGGTTTCTTCTTGCCTCACAGGCACGCAGGGCAGGCTGGCTCGCTGCTGCTGGTGGCTGCTGTGATGATGGCCGTGCGTGTGCATGTGCGCTGTGCGCCGTGTTTGGGGCTGCACCGGTGAAGACAAGGAAGGACACGGCCCGTGCCCACCGCTCTTCCCCCTTCATCTCCTCATTCTGCTCCATCAGCGATGATGATGGTGGCCGTGGCATGTGGTTGCGGTTCCCTTTTTCTGGCTTCGCTATGGCCCATCGGCTGGCTGGCTGGCTGCAGCAAGCACAGGTGAGGATGATCGTTGGCGGTGGGTTGGTTGGTTGGTGGGCTGTGTTGTGTCGAGCGGTGGGAAGCGGGAAGGGGGGAAGTGACACGGTGATGGTGGTGGTGCGACGTGGGAGTGCAGAGCGAAAGGAGGGAGAGGGAAGGGAAGTGATAAGAGGGCGATGATGTTGGTTGGGGGATGGGGAGTGCGTGTGCACATCCATGCACGTGATGTCGTGTGGTGGTGGTATCGCATGACAATGGCACACACATATCAGCGGCTCATTCCTTTTCCTTGCACCTGTGCTTGTGATTGTGTGGTTGTGATGATGACTGCAGCAGGCAACACACGGCGGTGGATGCCGGATTGGATTGGCTGGGGTTGACTGGCCATCGTGTCGTGTCACCCATTTCTCTCTCTCCCTCCGTTGCTCATCTCAACTGGGACACATACACAGCGATGTGTGCGTGCGTGCGTGTACATGTGTGCGCAGCGCCATCAATCACGCCGACAGCGACACGATGCACGAGGTGAGGGCACGCAATGGTGTGCGTGTTTTTGGTGGAAGGGGTTCGGGGGGAAGTGGGAGGAAGGTGTTCATCATGGCCATCATCACCACCACGGCTGTGTATCTGGCCATGTGACCGTGCATTTGGGGGATGGATATGAGGGAGAGATGTTGTCGTTGTTGGTTGTGGTTGTGTTTGCATTGCTGTGTATGCGTGTGCATGGTGCACCATCTCACTCTGCAATGCCATGACTATGTGTGTGTGACTGCAGATGTGCGTGCGCGTGTGCGCATATGTCAGGCAGACGCGTTGATCGACGACGAGGTGTGTGTGTGTGCGTGATTGTGTGATTGACCTTCGTGTGCTTGTGCCATCACAACAACGCACAACACCAAGCACATCATCACCAATGCACGCCCATGTATAGTTGTTGTCGATTCATGCACGGCATGCTCACATCCACCCCCTTCCCTTGTCTCCTTCCTCCTCCTCTCTGCTGCTGCCAACCCTTCCACTGTTTCCCTCCAACCCCTTTTCACACACACACACAGAGGAACCCATCCACATCCAACACCCATGCCCACATCCACGCATGACACGCCATGGCGAGCTGTGCCACCTCAACCAACCCAACTCAACCCAGGCCAAGGAAGAGGAAGAGGGGAAGCAAGGACACAAGACGTGGGGCTCCCAATAGATGTGTGTGCGTGTATGTTGATGGACGGTGTTCTCCTTTCCCCCCTCCATCGCCTCGCCTATTGCTTCCATGGCAATCTGGCTGGGTGGCTGTTGCCCCCCTCCCCCTTGTTTGTTTTCTCTTCCAGCCCTTTGTGGCTGTTGGTTGTTTGTTGTGACTGTGAGGAGGAGGAGGAGGAGGAGGGAGCGAAGAAGAGAGAAGGGGAGGAGAGGAGGGTGCATGCTGTCCACAGCTGTGTGTGTGTGTGTATGTTGTGTTTGGTTGTTTCTTCTTTTTCATCCCCCTTTCTTCTCCCCTTCTCCCCTTCCCTCCTCAGCTTGCAAGGCCTGTGAACCTGCGTTGCATTCACACACACACAGTGCTGTTCCCCCTCTTCTTCTTCTTCTCCTTCTTGTCTCATTCAAACCAAACAACCAACCAACCAACCAAGCAAAGCAAGCAAGTCCGCCCTGCAACAAGCAAACGCAAAAAGCAGTTGCCGCACAACCGCAGCAGTGGGCGATTATTTGTGGCATCTTCCACAAATCGCCCAAACACGAATCAACAAGACCAACACAAACAAACAAGCAACAAGCAGCAGGCGAAACGCGAATCAAGGTGCGTGTGCGTGTGTGTGGGAGTGGGAGGTTGCGTTGTTCGTGTGCGTGGCTGGCGCAGGGTTGGTGGAGAGGGGGGAGAGGGTGCGCGTTGTGACGGGCACTCACTGGCGGTTCTGTTGTGGGTGGTTTCGTTTGGTTCCATGGACTGTGTGGGGTGTGGTGGGTGATGGTGTGATGGTGAACAGGTGCAAGCAGAGAACATGCACAGCAGCGCCCACACCATGGATGTGTGCAGGGCCAAAGGCATGCAAGACGTTGCCCACGGTCGGTGAGACTGACAGATGTGCTGCACAGGCCCATGGCACGCTGGCACCGTGAGCTTGGGTGAGTTCTGTCAATTGGTTTGACTGCTGTGGGGGTGCGTGTGGGTGTGTTTGTGAAGGAGGGTGGAGAGGTCGATGTGGCTGCTGTGGGTGTTGTGATCTCACACGCACTCCTGCTGCCGTGGATGCATGTGGCTCACACGCACACAGAGAGGATGATGGGCTGCATCGACGCACACACATGAGTGTGTAAATACACATGCACGCGCGCTGACAGGCAGTCTGATGCCACCTCACGGTGCGTTGCACTTGCATGTGCGTGTGACTGTGACTGTGTGCATGTCGTTCATGCTGTGTCTGCTTGTGATTCACACTGTGTGTGTATGTGTAGTGGTGGCTGCTTGCTTCTCTCTGTCTCACACATGTATGTATGTATGGATGGTGACATGCACAGGCACACAGTGAGTGAGT